TTGAAATTAGCTGTAACGGGTTCGAGTTCGAATATGCTTCAAACCCGACCCGACCCGACCCTTACGGAGCACTAGTCTAATCCAAACATTTCTAGAGATTTTTCTAATGTTTGAGATGTTATTTCAAACTCATTTTTTTAACTTTCCAAATTTAGAACTTTTTTTTGAAGCTTTTCCGATTGCTTATCTTTTTCTTGAAGTTCTTCTTTCAATTCAGAATTAATACGTAAAGTTTCTCGATTTTCTTCTTGAAGGACTTTATGTTGTTGTTTAAGACTCTCATTTTCTTCCAAACCAATTCCAATTCTTGCAGCCATAACGTTATTTTTTCCGATTCTTTAATTACGCAATGATTTATACGAAACTTGGGTATTACAAAATCATCAGCTGACAAAGTCTATTTTTTCTCGAAATGATATTTTTGTTGATCGTTGCTGCTTTTGTAATTATATACATTCCTGTTTTATGAGATTATTTATGAGATTATAATAGTTTTGTTTGCTCAAAACTAAAAAATTTTTCTTCCTATTATCGATTGTTGTATTCAGTTCTTTCGTTTATGTATTTATTAAAGCAGAAGGATTTAATTAAAGAAAAATTATGACGATGAATTTATTTAATAATATCAATTAAATAGTGTTTCGCAATGCAATATGCTAAGCTAATCACTAATAAACGAAGTTACAATTTAAAACTTATGAGGTTAAACATGGCGAAAACGAAAATATCGAAAAGATGTATTTAGGGATGCTAATGGTTACGGTCATAACCGGTCATAACCGTGACCGATATCGGTCGGTCAAAGGCATCTGACCGAACGGTTGACCGACCGATTCTGACCGGTTTTGACCGACTGGACCTACTCGTGGGACTGATCAACCATGAAAAAACACTTTGTATTAAACTAGCAAAAATCAACATTTTATTTTAATTATCTATAAATTAAAATTTGAAATTTTGAAAAAAAATTAAAGTCCGCGATAATGCTGCGCCACTAAATAAAAATGACAAAGTAGTTTTAAAAAATACCATGTTATAGTTGTATAATATTTGGCTAAATTATATTACTATTAACCAGTCAGTTAAAATCGATCAATTAAACCGGTCGGTCGTTCAAAGAACTTTGACTGATCGTTGACCGACCGTTTTAAATAAACTTTATAAAAAATAATAAAAAATAGAAAAATAAAAATTGGTTATCTAGACGGTTCACGATTGATAAATATTTTATTTATAAAATGTAGTTTTTAACAAATTATTAAATAAACTGCCAATCATGCATTCCAATCGATTGACTCACAATGATAAAATATATCATACGTTTAGCAAGACAAAATAGTGTGAATAGTTATGATCTTTATATTCGACTCGCCATATTCCGGAGGGTTTTCTCGTTGTCTTTCCCAGAATTTCAATATATTCTAATAAATGGTTCATAATTTCGTGATCCTAACATCCCTGTAAAGACAATTTATAAATATTCTAATTTTGTGATTAGGTAAGAATTATTTTATTTTCGATATGCTAAATTTTTTGATATATCGTTAATCTTGTATGTAAATTTTGTGGTACGTATAAATATGTTGGGGACATTACACAAAATTAAGATTTTAAAAATGAAGTCGATTAGGTCAGAGATGATTGAAATTTTTAATAATCTAATAAATATATGTATATGTATTATTATAAATTTAATCACTACCTCTTTGCTACTCAAAAGAAGTATCGCAACATTCTGCAATGCTGTTCCATTAATAATGTTTGCTTTCTTCGTCAACAAACTTAAGCCCTGAGGATTCTTCATATTGCCGGAGACTTCAAATTCAATCAAAACATTAAAAAGTAACAGTTGGTTACTACGTGAATGAGTCATCGGGGTACTAGGGATGGGGACGGTTCTATCGGTTCCATTTCGGTTCCTCTTCGGTTCTACTTCGACTCTTCTTAAGTAAATTAAACTTTGAGCGTTAAGTTAAATTTATACTAATAGAGCATCATGTGATGATCAATTTAAAAAAATTTTTTGATTTTGAGCCGACTCTTGGAATTGGAACCGGAGTCGGTTCCGGTTCGATTTTTAAAATTGGTTAAAAATGGTTTGTAACCCAGAATATGCTGAATTTATAATCGGTTCCAGAACCGACTCGGAGTCGCTCTTTTCGAACCGTCCCCAACCCTACGGGGTACACGGATCATATATTCACCCATATTAGTAATTATAATTCAATAAGGCTATAATATCACTTTATTTAAACAAAAGTAATGTAATTAGAATTTTTCATAATCTATTTATGAATATTTGTATATAAAATAAAATTATTTAACATATAAAGCTCATACAAAAAATTCATAATAATACGTATGTATGAAGATATTAATTTTTTTGAATTTTTAAATGATAATTAATAATCTTTTAAACCATAATAAATGTGTAAATGTGTCCTACCAACACCAACAAAGTTGTGCAATGAGTGAATTACCAGAAGAAGGAAACTCACGAGTTTCGATAAATAATTTGTTGAAAGGCGAGCATTTTATAGTCACAAAAATCTTATGTGGACTCCAGGACTCCAAGAATTCAAAAAAAAAAAAATTTCGCAATAGAAAAATATGGGATATCAGTAATTGAAAAGAACAGATTTGTGTCACCATATATATATGGAAATATCACAATGTTTAGAATGTTTGGGTACGATAGTTTAATTTTAGGTGCGTTTGGTACAATTGACCCCTAGAAAAGAAAGTTCCAATCAACTATCAGACTCCGTATTTCTTTTCTCAACTAAGGCTATGAAAAACAAATAATAAAAAAAAACTTTATATGTACTATATTAATATAAAATAGACTTCTGATTTACGTGATACAAATCGAAGGTAGTTTTACATGTCACGTGCAATTTATTAAACAATTACAATGGTTACAATGGTTATTTGCAATTTCTGCTTTTGTTAATTCATGAAACATATAAATAAAAAGTTTTTATAAAAATGGAAATTATAATTATAGTTGTGATATTTTTAATGTTAAACAAGCGCCATTAGAACTGAATCGTCGATCATGAATGCATAATTAGGCAGGCACCACGAAAATTAATTGTGTGCACATTGCAAATGTTAATTCAGCAAATCACGAAATCTGCGTTTGTGGGTGTCCCTTGTCAAATCTCACATAAATGTAAGGTAACAAACAACAAAATAAGTCTTCTTATATCAATTTCTATGTATAAAAGATCAGAAGCTGAATAATTTGTTTTGAAAATAAAATCTTCTCCCTTTATTAATCATACTCATTATGATCTTGTAATAAAAATAAAAAATGGAAATGAGACCAAAGAGAATAACTCTTAGGTTGAAAAGAAAGTTGATATAATGAATTGATTTACGTTTGTATATCAAATACTAGGTTAGATAGATTAAATCGTATTCTGGCTGAGAAATTGGCTAAATCTTAATAATAAATAATTTCTGCATGGGATCTGCAATGTAAGAGTCGGATTGAACTTTGTTATTAATAAAAATTTCGATTTTCTTCATACAGTATATTAAAAATAGTTTTTTTTTTTTTTTTTTTAATAATATATAAATGTTAAGTTTTTGAAAAAAAATTTTTTTTTTTTTTAAATTTTTTTCCTGCGTAGGGAGATATTAAATCTTTTTTTTTTTTTAATTAAAAAAAATATTATATTTCATATTTTTTTTTTTTAATGAATAAAATAAATTTTTAATAATGCTTTCTACTGCTGGTTGGAAAATTGTGACCTTGCTTTATTTTGTGCGTATATCATCATGTGATTCGCATATGGCCTATAGAGTTGTAGATGAAGACCATTACAAAAACAAGAGTAAGTGAATTCAAGGAATTTTATGAAATGAATTTAATATATTTTATATTATTCTTAAAAAAAATCACAATCTTTTGACAGTTGATGTGTTGAATCAATATATCTTCGCGTTTACATTAAGTTTTGGAATAATGGTCGGTTTAAGTATAATATACTTTAGAATGAAGAAGAAATATTCAAAGGTAAACCTTTTTTTTTTATTTAATAAACAAAAAAAAAAAAAAATTACTCATTCTTTAATTAAATCTTAGGCTCGAAATTTTATTGTTTTTAGTGTTGTTTTAATAATCCTAGATTGGATTTTAGATATTATATTTATGATATTATATGCAAGTGAAATTTCATGGTTATTCACAACATGGTAGGCAAATTTTTCTTAACGGTTTCCTTTTTATTTTTTTTGTAAACAAATTCAAATCTAACCTACTTCTTCGACCGTACGTAGGGTGTTGATCGTTGCAATAGCGCCACTATTAAATTTCACGTATACTCTAACGTCAATTCATTATGAACGTGTTCAAAATGTTTCATTCAAATGTTGGTTAAAGGATAATCGATTATCGACAATTTTGATTTCATCGTTGTCTTTGATACATATTGAATTATTTAAATTGATTAATAGTAGATTATTTTACAAAGAATTTTTTGGTGCGAAATTATTATGGGTTCAAAAAAGTACTATTATGAGTTTATTTGGAATATTTAATATGATCATTCAAGATTTGGGTCAATTTATTATTCTGGTACGACTTTGAAAATATATAATTCTTTCGTAAAAAGTGATTAATTGTAATGATTTATTGTATTTTATTTATATATATATATATATATATTATTTTTTATTGTAGGTATATTACACACAACATACATTCTCATTAAAACTTCTCCCACTCTTGGCACTTTCGACGAGTTTTTTGATGATAATTCATGATTTAGTAACCATCTTATTTAAATCTTACTTGACACCACATCAAACTTCATTAAAAAATGAAACAGGTTTAAGACTGTCCAGGAACAATAATAATGAAAAACATAATTATAGTCCACCACAAACTCCTGCCTTGTTCCTTTCAAATGGTGGAAGGAGGGATAGCGTTAGTTTGATAAGTAGGGCGCCCCTTTCCCCATTTTTGTATCAGCCTCCTTTTCCTTATAGTGCTGAAGATCTTGAAGGGGATGAAGAAGTGGGTATGTCGCAAGAAAATGTGGATTTTAATAAAAGTGATGTGGTTAATGATGCTAATTCGATCGTCACCAAACCCCAGTCTAGTTATAACCCTCATTTGAATCTATAGATATTTTTTAAGATGTTTGCACTTGTAATGTACTGTATTCCTAAAAATTAGACTACGTTATGATTAATAAAGTAATAATTTAGAATTTTATGTGGCGTGTTGCCACAGCATTTCATTTTAAATATATTTATTTTAGGTTAATCAAAATTCTTTATTCATTTTTTATTTCTTTCCAAAAATTTAAGTAAATAGTTAAAATAAATAACTAATTTAACATGTAAAAATTCTGATACATATCGTCATATCGATAAGCCTTTACTACGCCAACTTCTCTAAAGTGATCGAGTACTTTTGAATAATTCATATCGAAATAATATTTTTCATAATGATTTTCCACAAAGAAATACAAAGTAATCCGAACTCGATCCTTCCAATTCTCCAAAAACGATTTCAAATCGGTTTTACAATATCTCCATGAAATTCTAATCTCTCGCAAAGTTTTCGGAGATGATTTCAATAATATTTCTAAGATTAACTTGATGTGATCGTCATCAAAATTATAAGTTTCGATAACCATCCTTTGGATTTGTTGACACTTGATTAATAAATTTTCGAATTCCTTGAAATCACCCTTATTGATTCCCAAGGATAAAATTTGAATCTTTGGACAACATTCGTAGATCGCACGAATGTAACTTCCCGAATATCGCTCATTATAATCTGAGTACCCAAGCAGAACCTCTGAAAGGTTCCCCTCGGTTTGTTCGATTACTTTTATTGCCACATCAAGATTAATAATCCCTACCTTGAAAACTTCAAGTTTGGAGAAGGTTGTCAATTTTAACAGCTCTTCAAATTTATGATTGTTGTACATTTGTTCCGAACGAGAATCTCCATAATCAATGTTAAAGTTAATTAAATCCAATCTCTGTAGATTACTACTCAATTCAGTAAGAATATTCAAGGGTAAAAAGAATTCTAAATTATAAACAAATTTAAAATGAACGAGTGAATCCGCTTGTGTGATCAAAGCACTCCCTATTGCCTCGAGTGGCGGCACAATCAACATTTCGGCATCATAATCAGTCAAACATGCAAGATATTTTAGATTCTTTTGAACTTCAATCAATCTAGCCAACCCAGGATTATCAGAATTACAATTAAAAATGTGTAAACGTTGCAAAAGGCTACAAGCATGTGCTAGTTCGTGGAAAAAGGTATGATCAATGTTTGAGTCACAACATAAGACGGTAAGGTTTCCAAGTGAAACGTTGGTACGTGTGAGATAATAATAATACATTGGAGTTTCCGAATGTTCCATCACATTTCCAGTATCCAAATTTTTAACTATCAGACAACTTCCCATCAGAAGTTTATATATTTCTTTTTCAATAATGTGAAAATGATTCGTTAATTTAACCCTAATTTCTACATCAAGATCGTCATTCCTAGATCGTTTATTCGTGCAATATCGAATCCAATTAAATTCTGTATCATTCCAATCGAGTGACAAGGAATGAAAATGATTCATAAATTTAACTCTAAATCCTTCTTCAATACAATGTCGAATCCTATGAAAATCGATATGATTGCAATATCTGATGTAATCAAATAATGGATTTTCATGTAGTATTGGAAATAAATCGATCCTTTTACTTTTTAGAAAATTTTGAGATTCCCTTGATAAACATGAAATAATGATGTCAAATAATCTCTTGTTATTAATGACAAATTTCCAGGGATTTTTCCATAAAATAGACACGGCTGTTTCACACCAAAGTCTATTTACAAGTAGGCACGAATGAAGAGATTTCTTGGTTTTTATTAATGAGCTATATTTGATGTCATCATCTAATTCTTCAAGGATAATGTAAAGGACGTCTTTATAAAGTTTAGACATGTTCAATTAAGAGAAGAAAGATTTGAAAGTGAACTAAAACCAATCTTTTCCAGCTTATAAGTTGAATTATGATAGCATAGCTGACCGTGATCATTTGCTGAAAACATATTTGCTTTAAAACTCATATCAAGTCGAAATAATGATGTTATGTGGCGTAGCAATAAATATTTATTCATTGAAAATAAAAAAGACAAAATATAAGAGAAAGAGAGGTGTTCCCTTTTATTTGAAATTGCAGTAATTTTACGAAATAAAAAAAAAAATTTGGACTATCGTAATTAATTCTTAGTACTTTGATTGCTTGGTTCTTTCCAATTCATAAAAGTGATCGTCTTGAACTTCATGAAAATTTATTAATGTCAAAAAATATGGCATGGTCAACCTAAATTTCAGTACAGGGTTCGATATTTAAACGTAACATTAATACTTAATGAATTTCGAAGTATAATTTTATTGGCTTAGATATAAGACTAACAAATCTGTAAAAATTTTTGTGCAATCATCCACCATTATTTTTGATCTAGTTAAATACTGAACCTTTAAATTTGATTTTAACGATTCATTTTCCAATCGTTCTATCCTCTCATAGTTTTGGTATTTAGGTTTTTTTTGAAAACAAAGCAAATTTATCTTCCAATTTTAGTAATATTAAAAGTGAAACAGACATTTAATTTAGTAAAGTGTTTATTTACAAGATTATCAGATATAGTAATTTAATGAACAGTTAGGAACAGTTAGTAGTTATTGAATCTATAATTAACAGTTAAAAACGGAAAAAAATAAAGGATACTATATTGAAAAAATTATAACGATAAATGATGCTACAATAAAGTCGAATAAGATATTTATTATAATTATGTAACGTCTTTTCTAAAACTGCGCCAATTAATGAGAAAATTACTCGCGGAATTACATGTATACCAGCAAATTTCATTTATTGAATACTTGAAACATATATTGCCTTTTATTAATTATTCAGGAGGAACCAAGGAGAAGTTAGGAAGATTTAGGCCTTAGGACGAAACAGTTTAGGAATCCTTTAGGAATTCTTCAGGGGTCTCTTGGACCGGTCCGCCTAAGACCGACTTGAATTAATGGATCGGTCTTGATTAATTTTCGGAATATCAAATTTTGAAAATTATAATATGAATATTTTAATCATTCAATATGTCCAAAACTTTGTCCAAAATATTTAAAACCAAAATGTGTCCGCTTTGCTCCAAAAATATTTGAAAATAGTGAAAGATAACCATACGATATCACACAGTCCTCAAAACATGGACCGAGGACCCATTACATAAATGATGCAAATTGTGTGACGAAATATAATATTTATTTACAATTATGTGATACATTCGTCCTTTATAAAGTTTAAATTTCAATTGCGCATTACCTTTTTTTATACCACAAAAATACAAAGATCAACATATAAACTATAACCTTAAAAAGAAACGACTAATTTTGGCTCTTTTTTTTTAAATTTTTAATAATGTCTGACAGTAACGATAAGGGTAAAAGTGTACATAATAAAAAAGATTCAAAATATATTTAAAACAAAATAAAGGAGTAAAGAAGTAACTGAAATTGGTAAGCATGAATTTTATTTAGCATGAGATGTAAATAGTTTTTTTATTTTATTTTTTTTTAAAATAAATAAATAAATTTACATTCATTAGAGCCAGTTCCAGATGACCTCAATACTCCTACGTTGGTAATAAACTTTCGTACATCTATTAAACAAAATTGTAATTATAATTCTTTTAATAATTAATTTTTTCAATAAAAAAAATTCAATGGTCGGTGATACTAAGAATGTAGTCATGTAATTTTACCATATCTAAACTTTTTTATTTATTAAAAAATATCTAATAATAAATAATAATTAGGGAGTAAGTTATTTTATTCTTTATATTGTAAAATAACCTTAACTAATTTATTTTACAATTTTAGTCGGTAAGTTATTTTTATTAATAGTCTATACTTCATACATATATTATTTAAACTCAATTAAACATTTATTTAAAATATTATAGAACGTAAGCCATGTTTATTGATTAAATTAACTATATGCTTACTATAATTAAAAATCAACTAATTCTCATAATGATATTAATATCTGGCAATATTGCAGAAAGTAAGTTACATTATTTAATCAATTATAACTGTAATTCTTAACACTTAAATATTTTTTTTAAAAAATATTTAATTTTTAGATAGTAAGTTATTTTTATTGATTATCAGTATTTAATTATACTTTTTACTATAGTTTAGAGTCAACTAAATTCTTTATACAAAAAAAGTATTTAAAAATTAATAATATAATAGTTGGTAAATTATTTTATGATTATCAATATTTAATTATATTTTACTGTAATTTAAATTTAACTAAATTTTTATTTATAAAATAATTAATAATTAATAATATAATAGTTAGTAAGATATTTTTATTAATTATCAATATTTAATTATAATTTTTACTATAATTTAAAATCAATTAAATTTTATTTAATAATTACTAATATAATAGTTGATAAGTTATTTTATTAATTATTAGTATTTAATTATATTTTTTATCATAACTCAATTTTTTATTCAAAAAATAATTAAAATTTAGATTGTTAGTTATTTTTATTGATTATTAGTATTTAATTATACTT